TATATATATATATATATATTTGATATATTAAATATATATTTTTAAGCAGATGTTTACTACGTTCTATCTACAATTTATTTGTTGGATAAAAGTTTTGATGAAAATATCAGCAGGTTATGCTCAACGTCTATTTAGGTTTCGTTACTCTCAGTAATTCCTTGTGATATATCCCATAAACTAGCTTAAAGAAGTGTTTATTTTATGATATCAGTTAAATCAGCTTTCATTCAAATCCAGTCAAGCAGTAAATATGCGTTTGTTCTTGAAGAGCTGAATATAATAGACTTGGAGCGGACTTAAATAGGGCATTACTGTATATAAAAAAAAAAAATATATATATATATAGTTAGTCACATTGTATGCAAGTCTTTTGCTTTGTTTTTTTGCCTTTGCAGTCTGTTGGTCGCGTTTCACGTTTTAATATTATCCCTTTTTGCATTTATGAAATATTCAACGTTTATACGCATTCGTGAGCTGCTCTCCCTCTCTGTCTCTCTCTCTCTCTCTCTCTCTCTCCCTGTCTGCGTCTCTATCGTCACAAATCTCTGCTCTTGCTGTTGCCACTCCGACTCGCACTCTTCCAGCTGCTTGTTGAGGTCCTTGGCGACTGGCGGGCAGCTTTGATGTTGTTGCTGTGGAGCTTAGCCTCAATGCCAAGAGCGTGTGTATATATTGACAATGTGGCCAGGCAGATACAATGTACACACACTCGCACACACACACATAGCTGTCTGGCTGCCTGATTATCTGTGCCAAAAAAAAATAAGACAGCAACAAAATTGGCGCTGCAGCACGAGGCTAAAGTCAAATCGAGCTGCCAGCCAGATCCCGATTCCATCTCCAACTGCGGACTCCGAGCCAAAGTCATGTTTATATAATGGCGCGCAGAGCAACTATTAACTGCGACTGCGACTGCGAGTCGCTGACTGCGTGCTGTTCCGGCTTCGCTCTCCCTCCCTCCCCGCTCCCCACTCCCCCCACTCACACAGTGTTTGTTATTTATTGTAATGCCGCAACAGTCATAACACGCCCCCTTTTTATATACAGCCCGCAGCCCACAGCAGTTTTTCCATCTTGGCGCAACCGCAGCTGCCATTAGATTTAATAAAGCAGCAACTGGAAAAGGAGTCAGACGATATCAGTTAGCTGCTCAGTTACGTTCGTAATTATCCAACTGTCTGTCAGAGATGAGCCACTCTTGGCCCGCCTTGACCCACCCTTTCCGCTGCTCATCCACTCCAATGACACCAGCTGAAAATGTCACTTGTCGCTCAGTTTCCACTTGGATGAAATGCTATTCAAATTGAAGACACTGCGTAAATCAGCATGAGAACTTGAGCAAGGCGAGTGAGGTGCTCAAGAGCTGAACTGAGAAGTAACTACTTTAGTATGAGGAATGGTATAATATGCTAAGAGAGAATATATATTATATTATGTTTACTTGTAGAGTGACATTCTAATATTTTAGCTGTTGAAATTATATTAAATTAGCTAAAGTATGTGTGAAAATTTCCTAGAATGTATCCAAAAGCTGCTAAAAGCGGAAATTCAACCAGTTCAATGAAGTTTTGATTTACATAATGCCCTTAAGTAGTTTTAACGAATTGAATTGAATTGAAGATTGGTAAAAATTATTAAGATAACTAAGGAAAGTGCTTTAGAAAGCTGATTAACTTTAATATGTAGTAGATGATATTTGCTTTGAAGCTTCTCAAAACGAAGCTGATTGAATGCAAAAGCTCATTAAAGCTCAGTCGCTTACAAGCATTGCAAAAGCTTTGCACAAGTAATTTAAAAGCTTCACAAACGCCTTGCAAAAGCTTTATACTATGTACTAATATGAAAGCTTTACTAGTCTAGTATGTAAAGCACATTAAAATACGAGTTGATTAAAAATATCTTATACATGGGAAAACTCCCAACATCAACCCAAGCAACTAGCAAAGCTCATTAAAACTGCATTGTATATAAAGAGAACTTAATGCAATCTAGGCTCTTAAGCTCAAGGCACACCTAACTAACTATTAACTTGGCTACAGGTAGTTAAGCTTCGTCTCCCTCTTCTTCTACTGCTACTGCTGCTGCTGCTACTACTGCTGCTGCTGCTGCTACTACTTAGCTGGATTAATCCAATTAGGCTCAGCTAAATGACAATAGATCTTCATTAGCAGCTGGCACAAATGCGCCTAATGAAAAGTGCATAAAAAGAATCGCGTAGAATTTACGCCGTTAAACCAAAATGAGAATTGAGCTCAGCTGTCGCATAGATGTTCATTATGCTTATTATCACACCTGTATTGCCCTCTCTCTCTGTCCCTCACACACACACACACACACACACACACACACACACACACGCACACGCACAGCGATTGTCAAGCAAATTTTGGTCCAGTTCCAATGCAAAGCGAGAAACGATAAGCAAAAGACAATTCAAAGCAGCTAAAGGAGCTGTCGCTGCAAAGAAGAGCAAGGACAGCCGTAAAACGACAACAACAACAACAATAATAATAACAACAACAACAACAACATCAACGTCGAGCACGACGACGAGGACATTAACTTCATTTACGTCTCGCCACAGTTGAAATAAACGACTTTACGACACTGGCGGATTTGCTAAAAAGTAAGTTGAGCCACGCCCCCAGGCCATGACAGCCGCCCCTTGGCAATCGCCAAATGGCACTTGGCCAAGCGATTTCTTTGCCGCATTTCTTACATTTTCGTTTCATTCTTTTTTCCTCCCCCCCTCTTCTTTTATACCTTTACTTTTACTTGCTTTCACCTGCCACAGGCTGCTGTTCATTAACGGCAGTTGTAGGTGGGCGGGGCGGATGGCTTGCTGAATGATGTTAAAAAGCAACGCCAGCTGCCAGCTGCCAGAAGCAGCAACAACAACAACAACAACTTGAAACGAAGTCTACTCAGCGACTTCCGGAACGCGACGCCATTCACGTTGACCGTTGCGCCGGATGTGCCCAGAGTTTAGGTGTGCGTGTGCGTGTGAGTGTGTGTGTGTGTTAATGCGTGGGCATTTGACTTTGAGTTCGAGTTGAGCGAATTCCACAAATTCGCTTTGTTGTTGGCCATAAATGCTTGACATTATTGCAATTTGCTGTGCGTTAGCCCAACTATGCAGCTTACAATTTCTTCATTCTCTTTCTATTCTTCACTTTGTTGTCCTCCTTTGCTCTGCTGGCAGATGCAAAAGAAAAACTGAACAAACTCAATTAACAAGTCATGCTGAAGTCAAGAGATTGAAATCGAACTAGTTTACAGATTATTTAGCCATTGATAAGCGGATTATAGCCAACTGATTGAGCGTGTAACTAGTTGATAATTGTTGCAGCAATCGATTCACAGTTCAATTGTAATTTGTCAAAGGGAAATTGAATGTTTGATTTATTGACAGATTCGCATGTCAACCCATTAAACATTGAACAGAAATTTCAATGAAGCGTGAATATTTAAATATCAAACAATTTATATAAGGAAATTGTATGGCTTTATAAAATTTCAGTAGCTATTTTTATAAATCCCCTTTTCTGTTGTCTTTCCAAATAAAGGTAATTGTTAGTACTTTTTCTCTATATTCCCTTATTTGAAATTGGGAAATTAACTGTTTAATTCCCTTCTAGCATTGGGGAGTCAAGCAATTTAAAAATTGAGGAAATTATTAGTACTTTTTACCAATATTCCCTAATTCGTAATTAACCCTTTAATTCCCTGGGGAATTAAGAGCTTAAAAATTTCCCAGCTCAAGCCTCAATAGCCATGTAAAGGGAATTGATTCTCTTCAATTCACTATTTCCACTCAATCTCTTATAGGATACTATATTCTCTTATTTTTATATCCCAACAGAGCATAGTTATTAAGCTCCAATTTTATGGCATATCAACTGTTTTGGTTTCGCTCTGCACGCTTTAATCCCGCTGTTTGGCCATGCAACATTACTCATGCGCTCGCCCGCAGTGCTGATAACACAGCGAAAAACCAAAAACGAACAAAAAATATAGAACGCTTTGCTGGCATTTGCGTTGCATACTTTGCGGCTGCGCTGTAAGCGAAACCGAATGCACAAAATGCATTTTAGCCCGTTCGCCTGGCAAATTGCCGCGGGCACACACAAATCACGCAACACCCGCACAGCACACGCACACACACACAGCAGCAGCAGCAGCAGCTGGTGCATAAACATGCGGGGCAACAACTACTACTACTACAGCTGCTGCTGCTGCTCCTGCTACTCCTGCTACTCCAGCTCCTGCTGCTGCTCCTGTGGCTGCTACTCTTGCGGCATTTGGCATTAAAGCAGCTTTGGGCTGCGCAAAATAGAAATATTAAAAGCTGCTACCTGTCTGCCACATGCCACATGCCGCATGCCACATGCGCGCACCGTCACTGTGTGACCATGCAACCGACAACAAACATGTCACACAAATATGTGCCACATTCCACCTATGTATCTCCACTTGCCAACCACCCACCCACCCACCTCTCTCTCTCACCTCACATAATCGCCACACATCTCTCCTCCCTCCTGCTTGCCCCGAAAGGATTTACGCTCTGCAACAGCAGCGCTTTTTATGTTATGACAATGACAATGCCACACACACACACATACAGAGGAGATAGACACAAATTTATGCTGGGCCTGGCTCAATGCGCATTAGACAATAACAATTATGCCCTGTAGTGGACGAAATTTGTATGTCCAGAGTATTTATGCTAATATCCCTAGAACTCCATGGACAACATAAAGTTTCTAAAGAGCCAGACTCTGCATGCTGTAAGGTTTCATGATTTTTGAATGAGGAATTCAAATTATTTGCTGTATTATATATGTAGAATTATATTATAGAATAATACTTTTAGAGCAAATAGTTTAAAAGTTATATTATTATATATTAAGTATTATTATATTATAGTCTAATTCTTAAAGACCAAAAATATATATTTAAAGCTCTGCTGAGCTCTGCCAAACTCTTATACAAATAAACCAGTCAAAAAATGCCCATTTCTTATAAAAAAGAACCAGTTGGAACGGTCAAGCTCTTATAAGAAATGAACCAGTCGTAAGACTGTCTTATAGAAATGAACCAGTCAGGACTGTCAAGCTCTTATAACAAAAGAACCGGTCGTAAAATTCTAATAGAAATGAACCAGTCAGGACTGTCAAGCTCTTATAAGAAAAGAACCAGTCGTAAGTTTCTTATAGAAGTGAACCAGTCAGGACTGTCAAGCTCACATGCAGATGAACCAGTCAGAAATGTCTAAAATTGAGTTAGCTAATATCAAATAAAATCATATTATTATCACATATCAAATTCCAGCAACAGTTATTGCCCATATACCCTATATATATAAATTTTTACCTCTATTTTACCACCCCGCCCAACTCGAATGAGCATCACAGAAAAACCACAATCCCGCCACTGAAGCTGCAGCAGCAAAAATTTGTTGTCAACTTGCGGACGGGCAACATTTGAAATGTGTTTGCATTAAATAGAAGCCACGGCAAAAATAAAATATAAAATTATGTTGATTTTATTTGAAGCGCGCACAGCTCAAGACGAGACGAGACGAAACGAGTCGAGCTGAGTTGAGTTGAAAAAAAAGGGAATTATATACATATACGTATATAAGTATAATATATATGCTTGTTTATGGCAACTTGTAAAGAAACTTACGCTTCAAGGATGCTTCAAATTATGTTGCTCCTTCAACAGCGTTTTCTTCAGAAGTACATACAAATATACATATATACAAACAAGCATACATACATACATACATACATATATATGTTATATTTGCCTGCTTGTAGTTGCTGCTTGGGTACTTATTGAATATGCAACTTTAAGAGCGCCCACACACATGCATATACATACATACATACATTTATTATATATGTATATAATAAGGCAGCAAACAATCTGAGGAAGTAGTAGAAACAGCGGCAGTACAAGCTACACGATTTTCAAGCCAAATCAAATGCTTAAAGCATTGCATACAAAAAAGAAATCAAAGACACACACACACACGCACACACCCACATCTACACACACAGTCACCCACACACACACACAATCAAAACAAAGCAAAACAAAATAATTTCTTATAAATGAAAAGTGAGGCAGTTGTTAGAGATGAGCGTGCGGCAACCGAGATATTGCTAGGAATGGGAATTTAATAAAGGGAAATTCCAATGAAATTGCCTATTTAAAAAACTATAGATAATCTTATGAAATAGACCATGTTCCGGGAAAAGCTTTCGGCATGCATACACATAAATATATGAGTACGAGGAGTGCTCAAAATATATATGAAATATATAATATAATATAATATTAATATATTATTATAATTTGATACATTTGAGTGCAAGTGTTTCCCAATCTTCGGCTGACTTTGAGTACACTTTTTTTGTGATCTTGTGCAGCTTTGGCCTCGGTGTCGTGTTTATCTCCTCTATCGTAACGTAGCGCCGTCCTTTCATGGAACAGGCAAATGTGACAAAGCGCTGCTTGGGGAGATTCTCCCTCGTTTTCGATGGCTGCCGCATCGTTAGGGTCTTGTTTTTGGATAACAATGTGGAAGGGATTTTTTGCTCCATTTTACCTTATTGCAATTTCAAAAGTCCAAGAACGCCGCAGCTTATGAGCAAGCTTGAGTATATAAGAAACATGGGAATCAAAATAATATCACAAAAAAATCAAAATAATTAAAATCAACATTTGCGATACTTTTTGTACAACACTCGAATATTTTATATATTTATATTACACATTTATTTAAACTCTTACCTCCTCAATATTTTTTGTTTAATAATTAAAGCATTTCACTCAAAAATCAAACTAATTTTATAATTTCTAATAATATTTATGGAAAATGTTTGCAAAGCTACTGAGTTATTGCTTTTGGACAAGCGAGTAATATTTATAATATATATTTATAATATATAATAATCTAATAATATCTAAATGAATAATTAATCAATTAATTTAGTATGCAGTTGCACTACTATTTTCATGACAATTAATTTATATCTAATATATATAAATAATCAATTAATTTAGTATGCAATTGCACTACTATTTTTATGAAAATTATTTTTTATATCTATAGTAAAATTAATATTAATATTATTAAATTATCATCAATATTTTCACTTCCATTTTCATCTCAACTCTGCAATGCTAATAAACTAAATACAATCAATATTTAGTTAATATATCCCGTTTCCACATGTTATATACATACATTCATATATACTACTTTCATGCGGGCTTATTTGGTATGCATAAGCCACACACACACACATATATATGTATATACATATATGTACATATATGCATATATTTATAGCAGATATATTGCTATAATATATATTGTGTTCATGCCATTCACAATTTAAGCTATTGATCACACGCTCACTCATATTTGCAGCAGCACGCCCCAAATAGCAACATAGCACACACACACACACATATATATATATATATATATATATAGTAAAATGTTATCACATCGTGTTTATCGCAAAATGCCACGCATAAGGACAACGACAGCGCGGCACGGGCTAAAGGACGCGCTCGCAGGATTTCAGCGACAATTCCCATTGTGGCCAAAAAATTGCTAAAGTCAAGCGAGCAGCACCGTCTCTCTCTCACTCTCACTCTCACTCTCACTCTCACTCTCACTCTCACTCTCACTCTCACTCCCTCTCTCTCATTCACTATCTCTCCCTCACTGTCTCTCTTATTGTTATTGTTGTTGTTGCTATGATGACGCCGTTTTGGCTGTTATTATGCTTGGCATTATCATTGTATCGTCCTCGCCCTCGTCCTCGCCCTCTCCTAGCTAACGTCCCTACCGCCCCCTCTCTCGCCCTTTTCGTCTGCCACAGCTGACTTTGGCAATTTTTATTGTCCAAGTTCTTGTTCTGTTCGCATTCATTGTGGGGAGAAGGAGAGTATATTGGTTGTTCTGCCATATGTGTCTCTAGCTAGAAGCATTGGAATTGGTCCAAGGCAGGAATATGGGTTGGAGTATTGGGGGCATGGCAAATGGAATAAGACTTTATCTCTTGCGGCTGCACAGTTGACCAAGTTTCGTGGATATACTTGTTGTTGATGTCTCCTCAAAGCAGCTCAAGATGTTATTGAGAGATAGGGAAATCAGTTAATAAGTATATCTGCAAGAGTTATTTTATTTAGGTCTAGCCTTTCAAACTTATCATAGGTGTCACAGTTGGCATTCTCTAAGAACTAACTAATCTCTTGACCTTCGCTTTCAATATATCTACTCCATTTGTGTTTTACTTTCAGCTAAACCAAATTCCGTAGATCAAATGCTTAAGGATCTCTCTGAAAAGATGATATATCCATCACAGCTTTCATTTTTGGCTGAAGCTCTTGATTGGTTAGCCTTCTCTTCGAACTTTAGACAATAAACCTAGATATGAATAGGTAAATCTATTAAGAAGGAAGGTCAAGAGTCTATCTTCCACTTCATATATACGTAAGTCTGTTCATACTTAGGTCCCTTGACTATCTCCCTACCCTTCCTTCCCCTTAAACAGCACCTCGAACGCGCATTATGCAGTCGGCTATGCTCAACTGCAATTTGCTTCGTTCTTTTTCTTTTTTTCGTCTCGCTCGTCACTCTAAGACTTTAAGGGTTGCAGGATATGCTTGGCGTCTGTCGGTCGCGGCGCCAAAGTTTTTGCTCTGCTGCTTTTTTATGACCTCTGTGAGCTAGAAGATGTGCCCCTCGCTGGCTGCGCTAGGCTGATGCGACTGCTGCTGCTTCAGCTGCCGCTGCTGCTGCCGCTGCTGCTAGCCAGAATTGATTGATAAGCTTTTTGTAAACAGTGTCGAGTTTGGTTGCTTAGATTTGCACAGATTACGCATACGACGCGTTGACGGCATCTCTGAAAGTTGAAGAAGGGAAAGGAGTAGGAGTACTCTATTCCGAATTGTTTAACGAGGGAACACCCTTAATACCCGAGTCGAGCTGATATGTCAAGCGAAGAGGTAGCCCAAAAATGGAGCATTCTATGTGATTTACTTGTGGTATAATCTATCTGCCTACTATATATGACGAAGGACTTGGAATAAGTTGAGATGAGATTATTTTGAAATCGATTTAGAAATTTTTACAAGTTATCGATTAATTGAAAGAAACTTTATCTGGGCTATTAGAGAAGTTACATGTAAGGTATAGGGGAGACAGGCGAATGGGTAGGTGGACAACAAATTAGATAGACAGATAAGAGACAGAGATAGACGGATGAAATGACAATAAAATAGGAAAAAGGAAATGGACGAACCTTGGAATCGACCTAAGAAGATAAAAGAATGAATGGATGGATAACTAGGTGGTTAGATGGACAGACGGATAGACACAAAGATGAAGGTGAAGGCAAATGAACCGATAGATAGACGAGCAGACGAATGGAATGGCATATAGAAAGACGCACAGACTGACGCACGGACAGAAGAAGACAAGATATGACTGCATTGAGTCCACTTTACAGCTGGACATTCCATATCAGAAAACCAATATACCCGATCCAGAACAGCTTTCAATTGGGCTCAAATGGGCATAAAAAGTAGCCCCGACTTTTGAGTTATCATTGCAGCAGCTGCAAGTCTCTGACAAGGATATTAACATACTTTAGCCATAAAAACAACAAACAGCAGAGCAACAACTGCAAAAGCTGAGCAATAAAAAATATACCAACAACAACAACAGGAAGAAGAAGAAGAGGGAGAAGAAGAGGAATAACAACAACAACAACAACAAATTGTGCCACTAATTTGAGCCACGTTGAAAGTTTTATGAACCACCGGACCAAAGTTAAATATGCGGCTAATTACGTGTGTTACATTGTGTGTGTGTGTGTATACGAGTGTGTGTGTGTGTGTGTGTGTGTACAAGCTAATTGCATTTTTTATCGCTCCATACGACTCTTTAATGACCCAGCGCCAAGCAGCGCACTTGACCCCCAGTGAATCCATCGTCCTGGCGGCCAATAAATCAGGCTGTGCAAGTTTATGAATTTTACGATTTTAACGAGTCCTTCAAGCAAACAAAATTATCTTAACTTTAGCAATAACAAGAAAAAAAACAAAAAAAAAAAGGTAAAGTAAAATGTAAACTTTAAAAACGAAATGTTTTCCTACACTTCGCTGGCTTACGAAAGTTTCACGGCGAAGTGAAACGTTTAAGAAATGCCAAAGGACGAACATGAAGTTTTTCTTTTGTGAAAAGCACATTGAAACCAGTTGCCAAAGTTCTTAGTCATGCTCTGAGCTTAGCGCTAATAATACTAATAGATAGATAGATGATATATGTACATAGATGCTGATGATCCTGAACTTTTGCTGTGAGAAAATGTATGAAGATAATACTTTATAATAAGTCATTAAATCAAGCAGAAGATAATAATTTATAATAAGTCATTAAATCAAGCAGAAGATAATAATTTATAATGTCATTAAATCAAGCAGAAGATAATAATTTATAATAAGTCATTAAATCAAGCAGTTAGGAAAGAGGATTACGACTATAAACACTCATAAATTCTGATAAAATCAAAAATATATCGATAACATCAAATCAATGTATTATAAAGCATAATAAATACAAATTATTACAAATTATTCTAAAATTCCTTTAATACAATATTATCAAAGAGCGTAGAGTAGTCTAAGCTCAATATTCATGCAAATTTATCGAGAGCAATCGATAACTCACACACATTCACACACCAGCGGCACGGCTTTAAAATCAGCGCAATATATATCGCTCATATCGCTCGTTTAAGGCGTCAAAGTTCATGTCAGCATATTAAATATTTTATAGACGTGAATCAGTTTATGTTTTTTAAGTTTGCTACATACACATTCTCTCTGCTTCTTCTGCTGCTGCTGCTGCGCATTTTTTACGCGGTTTATGACACAAGTGAAATATAATTCATATTCTAAAAAAAAAAGCAGTAGAAGCGAAAAAAAAAACCAAAAATTTTAATGCCGCCTGAAAAATAACGTCCAATAAATAATCCTTAATGTGCCTTTGTGTCCCATGTCCTGCGCGAACAACATGACTATGTGTGTGTGGGAGTGCACGTACGTGTGTGTGTGTGTGTGTGTGAACCATACCTCAAAGCTCAGCTCTTCCTCTGCTTCTTGGCCACCTTCATACATTATTTTGCGCTGGTTTTGTTGGGCCGCGTGTGATTTCGCTTTACACGTCTCCTGTTCGCTGTTGCGGCTTTTATGTTATTGTTGCTGTTGTTGTAACCACAGTCGCCCAGTCGCCATGTATATAGTACATATATAGCTCTTGTCAAGTCGTGACACTGTTATGACTTGCCTTGTCGCCGCCGCATGCCACCTACCATGTGAAACAATTGCCACGCCAAATTTGTCAGCATTTCATCGCGCGCCCAACAACAGCAAGAAAATCAAAGGAGAAAAATTTATATATGTACACATATATATGTACATATATATACACATAATAAATTGCTAGATTTTCCGATTATATTTGTTTTTAATATAAATACATATATATATACATATACATATATATTTTTGCATAATTTCATGCATGACTAGCTTTGAAAGCACATTAAGGCCTGTAGCGCACTTAATGGGTTCGAGATTTCAGCTCAACACATTTTTGATGAATGATTTTCGAGAGGATTAACATTGGCCTTTAAAAGCACATGAAAGCCTAGCGTGAGATAATATCATATTAAAGCTTGCATAAAATTAACTTTGTAAGCAGCTTAAAGCTTTAATCCTACATGAAGGTCATCAAGCTTGGATTAAAAGAAGCTTAAAGCTTGAATTCAGATTTTTAAAGTGTTTGAATTTTAAATGAGCTTTGCAAGCCGACTTAAAGTTCAAATATTCGATAAGCAGTTATCCTGAGAAGTAATTTAAAGCTTTTTAAGCAATAAAAATTAATTACAATAAGTTTATGGAGAGCTTTAAGCACTTATTTGGGCTTTACAAAATATATATCAATCAATTTAAACAAATAATTTGATTTATATTTTTTTATATTTGTGTTACTATGAGTTTTACTTAACCAAACCAAAAGCTTTAGGCAAACATTTGTGCAACAAGGATTTTCTAAAAAGCTCACTTAAAGCTTCACGCATTTCCTCAACTATTGTCTCCCTCAATGCTGTTCAGTTTGATTTTTTTCTGGGCTCGAAGCGACACCAGAACAGCTCACGCGGCTCCATGCGAAAGCCCTCGATGCTGGCCATCATGTCGTGCACGGTGCGCTCGGCGGGCAGCAGGCGGAAGCGTAGCACCATTTGATAGATGAGCGATTTGACCTCCATCAAAGCCATGCGATTGCCAATGCAGCTGCGTTGACCCACACCAAAGGGCAGATAAGTATTGGGTCGTATCTCATGCTTGTGCTCCTCATCAAAGCGTTCGGGTCGAAACTGTTCCGGCTCCTCGAAGTTATCCGGATCGTAGTGCAGCGCTACAATGGGTATATGGACCAGATCACCTTTGCTCAGTTTCAAGATCGATTCGCCCGCCTCATCCTTCAGCTCAAAGTCCGTCGAGCACATGCGATCAATGACCACTGCAGGCGGCCATTTGCGTAGCGATTCCGAGATGATGCAATCCAAATACTTCATGCCCATGAGGCTATCGTAGTCCAATGGCTTGCCCGCCAGCTGCTGCTCCACAGCTAGAATTTCCTCGTAGAGTTGTTGCTGCACGTCCGGATTCATGAGCAGCTCGTAGGCGGTAAAGCTCAGGCAGGTGGAAACGGTCTCAAAGCCAGCAGAAAAGAAGAGCAGACATTGTGCCAGGAGATCCTCATCATTGAACTCAGCGGCCGGCTGATCCTGATCCGATTCCTGTGCCTGTTCCGGCTGCTGTTGCTGCTGCTCCTTGAAGACTCGCTGCGCCTCCATCAGCTGCTGAATCATATCGGGACGCACAATGTTCTGCTCCCTGCGCTGCTCCATGGCGCCAAAGACCAAGCGCTTAAAGTACGCCACATTGTTCAGGTCCATAACGGGCACGCGCAGAGCCTGAAGAGAGAGAAATGAGAGTACTTAATGAATATCGCTTATAGATCACTTAGAGATCCTTCCCTTACCTTCATTATCTTTGGCATTACAATGTAGAGAAAGACCTTGATGCCGCCCCAGAAGCTGAATTGTAATAGCCGCTGTCCGAATGTGAAGAATTCGTTCTGTTCATCCACAAAGCTGTTCACCTGCACCCCGAAGGCCGTCGAGGCAATCACATCGTTCGTGTAGCGTGTGAAGAATTCCTTGAGCTCCAGTTCAATGCCCTGTTCCTCGCTAGCCTGTAGCTTGCGTTCCACATACTGAACGGCTTCCACATTGCAGCTGTTAATCAACTCAAACATGAGACGAATCTTGGCACCTGTGAAGGCAGGTGTCAGCGTCTTGCGCATCTCTTTCCAGCGTCGATCGCGCAGCGATAGCAACGATCTGGACATTACAGAAATATCGCCAGTGTCGTGCTCATCGCCAATGGCCTGCCGATGATTGGTAAATACATCGAAGTGCTTGATGCCCACCTGGCGTATCAATTCAGCATCCGCTAGGTAGTAGAGCGGCTCTCGCAGATTGTATACGCCGTAGACCTTGTGGTGCTTCAATCGCTGATGCAGCTGAATGCTGTGCCTCACATGCGAATCGCTACCGAGCATTACGCTCAGCGGCACATTGCCGAAGAAGGGCAGTGGGCGCTCATGGGCCACGCCCCGGCGCTTGAAGTATGCAAAGCTGGATACGGACCATTTGTAGAAGAGCGCGCCAAGAAATGTCAGCACAAAAAACAGCTCGACGAGCGCCATTAGAGGAGGGATGGAATCAAGTCGAAATGCGCGAAAAACAATTACCAAAACACTCTACTTTGCGTCTTACTCAGCCGCCCGCTGAAACGCCACTAAACACTCAACGTAACCGCTGCTGAGACGTACGCTCAAACCGGCAATTTGTGTGATTGTGTGGGTGACGAGAGCGTAAGGAATGTAAAGAGCGACCCAATGAGAGTGTGTCACTGTGTGTGTGTGTCAATGAGCATTGCAGCGGCAGCGTGAGTCAAAGAGCGAAGCAACGCGAGCAGGTAAAGAACAAACGAACAACACAAACAAATAGCAATGCGAGCACGTGATGAGTGAACGACAGAGAGAGAGAGACAGGGAGAGCGTGATGATTGCTAGCGATACAAGGGCAAAGTAACTCACAAAATTAGCAGCAAATAACAAAATTTGTTTGTAGCGCATAAATAGCCAACAAATAAATTGTGTAAGCAGTAAATTATGAAGATTTGATTGGTACTCAATAAGGCCTCGATGCAAATAAATCAAAGTGGCATATTTACATATATATGTACATATGTTGTATTTAAAATATTATATTATACTTATACTTACTATATTTATTTTATTTATTTAATCGAATATCAAGCTCAAATCAAAGGATTAAGTAATGTAGGTGTATATGAATATAAGCTGATTGCGCAAGTATAAGATATCAAATGCAGTCGACTCTCTTAACTGCCATATAACTGTGTATGTTTGTCTTGCGAGTAAGAGAGTTGAGGTAGGAGTCAAACGCTGAACAGCGCTAAGCAAATAACATAACAGATAATTAACACGTTATATGTGAGTGTAAAAGAGAAGGCATGAAGAAGCGAGCATAGCATTGCATAGGTATATTTTCCCAAAACTCATTCTCTTGCTCATTCTCATTTATATTGGAAGTAATGCAACTTAAATACTCTTAGGGAAATTATGAATTCCCTAATAAGAGTTTGTATTTCGTATTAATATATAAATTTGGTAACTTTTAATTAAAAATCCTTTTTTTAACAAATTGAATTTAAATAAATGCCTTATTCTGCTAAAAATATAATAAAATAGATTTATAAGTAATGCATATTTAAGCAAATCAGCCTGAGGATTATTCTCTTTTAATATAAAATAAATGTAATAAACTAAAACAATAAATTTCACTCACTCACTTCACACTCGCCCTCATCATAAATCAAAACGTTTTAATCTTCATTCCTTATTCTCTGATGGCTTAAATGTAACTCAATTTCAGAGCATTTCATTAGAAATGCGTTTTGAATTTGAAAATGGCATTTGCTAAGCTGACAGCTTTCCATATAAATCCATTTTGCAGTTGATGTCAAAGAAGGAGAATTACCACAAATTATGAAAATCTTCTGCAGCTGACAGACTTCATTTCGAAAGCAATACAAATTAATCTGTTGTTCTGTGTGGTAAATCTAATATTCAGCATGTGTGGCTGATGCTGATGCTCGTTCCTCCTTTGCTCCGTTGCTCAGTCCCAACTGATTTGTCATCAGAAACTGTCAGCAAGCAGCATCAACTAATTTCAACATTAATCCCCCTAAGTGACTCAACTATTTATTATAAAGGACTTTGTCAAACAAAGAAAACAAAGCAAAACACACACACACACACACACGCACTCATGTGGTTCAAGCAGTTGACAGCAGGTGCACCACCATCATGCGGCTACGTGCCCAAATCCAAAACCGAATCCAAATCCGCTACCTAGGCGACGACGACCTGTGCTCAAAAAAAAAGTAAATAGAGGAGAGAAGAGAAGAGAGGAGAGAAAAGGAGAAATAAATGAAAGAAAAGTTCTAGCAAAGCTTTGACACTGATCCAATACCTGAACATGAGCGGGCAGTCACAAAAGTTTGCCATACAAACAAACTGTTATACTTGACAATTCGAGTTCGGGCGTCAAAGTTGACAGCCGAAAGAATGTTTGTTGTATTGTAGAGATAAAAATAAGACAAAGTTTATTAGAACTTTAGAAACAGCTTAAAGAGATTTAGCAATATCAGTTCAAACTGTTATATGACAAAAATTTTAGTTTGTAATATATTCAAGTGTTTCCGATAACACAGTATATTAGAATTCTCAGAAATAAAGATTCCATGCACTCTCTATGCTGATTTTTGCTTATTGAGAAGCCTTGAGCAATTTTTAAAGCTATAATACACAATTAAGTATAAAAAACTTAAACTGTTATACGCTTTCCTGTCTGTATGTTCTTTTAAATAAATATACATGTATATGAGAAGTTTGTTGAACTGTTTGATTGTCACAATTCTAAAGATTGTTCCACACATTCAAGACTTAGACACATAAAACCTATCCTAACTTTTATAATATGCCACTTTTATATCTTATATACTTATTATAGACATAATCTAATTACTCTTTATAAATACTCTTATATAAATACAAGTTTCCACTCCATTTCATAACTAACTTCATAATATTCTCTCCTCAAGTAGATAATTCTCTAGTTATATAACAGTTTTTGCTCTTTCGACTTACCCACATTTATATTATTTTCTAGTCAGCCTTCGTGGCATCCACTTCCAGCTTTCACTTTATCACTAATTCCTGCCGCAGTAGCAATTCGGTCAACTTTAAGAACTTTTGGCAAGCGAACTCGAAAAATCTTCTCAATTTTTTTTGTGTAATCAAATCACGTCTGAAACAAATGACAAAATTTGGTTGCATTTAGTGAATATTTAGTGTGAGCATGGGAATGAAGAGTAAGAGTGAGAGTGTGAGTGTGTGTGTGTGTGTTTGAGTTTGTGGGAAAGTTAATGGGAGAGCTCGCCTGTGTGTGTGTGTGTGGCAATTGGACACGCGCCAAGCGGTTGAAAATGAGAATCTATTGCCTTGATGGGCAAGAAATGAGCGCAATCCAATGGCAAATCTACAAAAATGCAAATGTCATTTGATTTGCCTTGTCCTCTCGCTCTCTCTCTCTCTCTTATATCTCTTGCTGTCTCTGTCTTCGGTCTGAGCGCGTGCTCGGCTCAATCACAATTCACAATTCGCACACACCAAAAAAAGAGAACAACAAATACTAGAAGAAAGTGCGTTCAGCACACCGGCAATAAGTGATTGTCTATTGTGTGTGCTGAACGCATCCAGTTTCCAGCTGCCTTTATTGTTAGGCAAATATATATTTCTGTGGAATAAAACTTTCGCCACAAATAGAGCCAGCTCGTTCGCCACGAAAGAGAGATGCAGATATAAATGGCGAGTGCGACAGAGATAGCGAGATGTCTAATGTGTTTACATTGGCAGCAAACCAACAAAGAGCAAGAAAACTTGCTAAAAAAAAAAAAAAAAGCAACAACAATAACAACAAAGACAAGCAGAAAAAAAAAAGAAAAGAAAATTTCATCGTGTACTTCAAGTTTTCTTCCTTTATTTTTTCCATTGTTGCTCTTGCTGTTGTTGTTGTTGTTGTTTTTGCTGTACATTTCATCGCCATGTCCCGTTGCTGCCGTCTGTCCATATCCTTGTCCTGCCGGCTGTCGCACGTTGTCCTCGGGGCCAGACCAATGCGAATTGGCTCCGGTTCTTGTTTTTTTGGTTTTCCCTCAGTTTTTCTGGCTCTTTTTTTTTTTGATACCCTATACCCCAAACGAAGTGTGTAAGTAGGGCATATTGTTTTTGGGCATTTATGTGGAATAGGGGGAAGAAAGATTGACGTGTGTAAAGCTTATAAAATTGATCCTTTTTTCATCAGTTCCTCTCGTTCGTTGGTATCTTCAATCCACGCAGCTATAAGAGCTAGAGAATTCTACTCTATAAAGCATTCATTCTTGATATATACATTTAAGACTAAGAAGAGTAGAATATCCGCCTATCACTCTCTCATTCCATCTGTATCAGATCTGTATAAGAATTCGGGAGCTAGAATCAATTGCTAGTCGAAATCTTTAAGGGCTAAGGAGTTAGGATCAATCAAATTCGTCTCATATCATCAACGATTAAGAAATTCTTCACCTTTTTACACCCATAGACATATCCTAATGGGTATCTCCCAGTCGTATAGTCTATCGCTCAGTCCGACACTAAAACAGTCTTACTTGTTTTCGGTTTTTCTTGCTGTTTTATGTGCCATTTCCATTAGAATTCAAGTGCCGCAAGACTTGAAAGTGAACTGGCCCTCAAGGCTGCTCGTTAAGTGCGGCCACCTCTATCGCATTCTCTCTGTCGCTCAGTCTCACATTCTCTGTATATCTCTCCATCTGTGTAATATGCGCTTTTATCAGCTGCTACCATACATTTGCTTTCTGCTTTGGTTTTAGCCAAATCAAACATCCCATTGGATCGCATCGCATCAAAGCAACGCCAAGCATTTGCTCAGTGCTATTTCTACCAATTAGTCCAAATGTTTTGCTTTAATTAATTACGACTAATAACTGCTCTTCAATACGACTAAACAACAACAGCAACAACAACAAATACAACAACAACAGTCAGCCACAACAAGAAATTCAACAACAAAACATGCGACAGCGCAAACATTTGCTTAGCTTCATGTAAATTTTACCCTCAGGCTAAGTGACTGTGACTGTATGCGTGTGTGTGTGTGAGAGAATGCGTATGTATATGTGTGTGTGTGTGTGTGTATGCTGTTATGTATAAACACGCACTTGGCATATTTCTTAAATAATGCTTATCTGCTTTCGAGTGCCAGCTGGCCTTAAACATTTATGCCTCACAGTTTCGCCTCCTGCCACGCTGCTTCCGTCCTCCTCCATCCCCGCTCTCCCAGCATCTACTGTCCCACGCTTCTCAGCACTTAAACACAGCCTCCTGTATAATTTATTTGTTAGATTTTCATTAAAAAACAAAAAACAAAAACAACCTTACGCTTAAATCTGCGCTTGGTCAAAGAATTTAATAACTTTTACTTGATTTTCGAATGAAAATCCCGTGCGTAACCTCACTAATGTCAGAAGTTTCCTTGCTGAGGAGCTAAAAGTTAGATT